TATTTGAGATGTGGCTTTTGCTCCATAACCCTTAAAAATCAGTTATGCTTCTCTCCTCCTGCTTAAAAATTATATTCACTCTGGCATTTGTCTCTAGGAGTTCAGCAAGTGCTGCACCCTGCACAGCTCCTCTATGTCTATGTGTACACTGCTGGGAAGCTGCATTATTCTGGGGCACAAGAGGGCCTGGGGGGCACAGTTTCTCTGTTAAATCCCTGAGGCAGACATGGGACACATCAGACACATGGTCCTACATTTTACACCATGCCAGAAGCCTGTGGCCCTTCCTCTTGCTTTAATTCACTTCTTTGAGAACCCACTAAGAAAGCCCCATCTCTCTCAGACGTCTTTTGCAATCATTCCTAGTCCTTCTCTACTGTAAGTCCTGGAAGAAGAATGCTCCCTTGGTCAGCTTGTCTCCCATCCTTCTGCCTTTGGGCTGCCCTTGGGCAGACAAGCTCTTTATTGTTTGATCCAGTTTGGCAGCTGGATTTAAACAACCTTCAGAAATCTGTGCTAAGTCTAATCTAGTCTGACTTGACCTCTCTTGAACCCCACAAGTTTTTTGCAAATGAGTCTCTTCCTTTATCAGCTATATAAGTTGTATTTAATATCATTAAAATGCTAAACTGATGAATCTTCTCACTAAGGGAGATTACAGCTGCATACATGAAAAGGGTACTCAGCAGGAAGGATGCACAGAAGCCAACAAGCAAGGGAGCTAGGGACCACAGAAACCCTGATATGCACAATATAGGGGATATTAAAAAGTGGCTAGGCGGCAATGAGCAATAAGCATCCTGGGCCACTATGTCTTTTCATCCTCTGGCTCCCTTTCTGTCTGTATTTGCTGACTTCTGTGGGATGACTCAGTAGGCATTGAAGGAAATGAACTACACTGTTTTGCTGTATGTAGCACAATAATCAACAGCACCAAATGAACTCAGCATCAAGCTGGGATCAGGCAGTTACAATGGTAGAAGAAATTAGACAGCATTAATTAGAGGGAGAATATGGAACTCTTTCTGCCCGGGATGTGACTCTTCTCTTAGCTGATGAAAGCATCCATGGTTTGGCTTATTAAGAGCCAAGTTGATAGAAAAGTTGAAGGGAAAAAAGGAGTGTTCTCCATTGTGTGCCAACCCAGCTGAGGGAAGACTTGAGTTTGAGACTGACTTTTAAAGAACAGCAAAAGGTTAATGAATTTTTATCCCAGCCACCATTGATACACCTGAAGGTCCCTCTAACTAGATCACAGACAGCACTTTTGCTTTTATTTCACTAAAAGACCAGGTAAGTAATATATGTAAGGGAGAAAGAATCAGAGATAAAAAAGACTTTTTCAGCTTCCAGAAACCAAAACAATCTTCTGCTAAAGTAGTCTTCCTATGGGCTATGCAGCTACCTGTACATGTTCCATGTCAAAACTTTCTCCACAACAATTCTTTTTTCTTATTTTATTGACATTTGATATAAACTGGACTGCACTCTGCATTAACAAAAGGAGCTTGATTCTTTGAGGTACAATGAACTCTCACTTCCCACTGAGCCTGTGAAAGAGGTTGACATGCAAAACTGCTGAAGGCAGGTCCCTTGCATTACTTGGAAATTGCTTTCCTGCACCCTCCATATTCTGCTACATTGGGAAAGGGCCAGGAGGTATACCAGAGCTTCAGTCCAGACAGTTCTGTACTCTGTGATTTGAATCCATCCCAGCCTTTATGGTAGAATCAGAGAATACGAAATATGACAGTTCAAATAAATTGTAGAACAGTTAGCTACATTGAATAGGGTTTGTTTGCCATCTTTTGGCAAATAAAGCATGTTTGCATATTTTACATTTTTTAAAAATTGCCTTGCCTTTTGTATGCATGCTTGCCTTTTTTCTATACTAAACAGTTAATGAAATTCCAAACTACTAAACAAAGACCTGTGAACATTTTGGACAGCACACTCTTTTTCCCATTATATGTCTGTACAATGCCTAAACCAGACTAGTCGTGATTTTTTAACAGAACCATCTAGGAATTGTTGTTATTTAGAAAGATAATATTTTTATTTATTTCATTAATTTAAAACTAAATGTTCTTTAATATAACCCGATTCCCTTGTAAAAAATAAGGAAGAAAAGTGGCAATAGATTTCCATAAAATAGCAGTATGGTAAAAGTGCACTATTGAGGCAATCACCTACAAGTGAGCTAGAATTACAGATTAATAAACTACAAAACATCCACCTCGGAGTACTCAAAAGTTCAGATGTTTCTTTGAGTCTTGTCTTATTTAAGCCTCTTGAACCTAAGCAACTACACAATTTCAAATAGTAGCTACACTATGTAAAATGTCTTAGAGAGGAAGATGCCAAAATGGACTGAAAAATCATAGAGTTTCCAATAAAAACATTATTTTTGGTCAACATTATTTGCTAAATTCAATCTAAACATATGAATCATTTTGCTCAACCCACAACTGTATTTTTCTATTAATATATTAATTAACCCTGCAATGTCTCTCAGCCTTTCTTACATGCCCTGTCTCTCTACTTTCCTTTATTAGATAATGGCATATCTTTCTTCCATATTTAGAAATATAACCTCTCTTAAAATGATGCTTCCATGAAAAACCTCACTTGGACATGCTGTGGCACTTGATGGAATTGACAACTCTGCCCAAGAAAGACAGGATGCGACAGCAGATCCCTGAAGATGCTTTAAAGGACATCCCATAGACAATCCATGGCTCTTACCACACAGATGTAATGTTACAGCTAGAATATATATCAGGTATATACTGAACTGTATATATGAGAAATTGTGGGCCAGTCAAATCAAGGAGGCCAAAGAGAAAAAGAATCAAAGAAGAAAACTTGAGTTGATCACACTTTTGTTTCCTAGAGAAGTCAGAGGAAGGAACATGCGCACACTGAAGTTCTCCACCCCAGCCTTTTCCAGGTGAATTTCCCCACCTATAAGCAAGAGGAGCCGAGAAGGCATCAATGACACTCCACCAAAATGCTCACTTTTGCACTCAGAAGATGTAAAGGGCTGCCTGCAAAAGCTACAGAAGAAACTTCACTGGTCAGTTTAAGTGCAGGATCCCTTATGCACAGATTTAAATGGGAAGTTATTTTAGCTTCAGGGAAGCAGAATCTAGCCCAGAAAACTCACAGTGCAATACATTAGGTAAATATTATTAACTTCAGTTAAATTAAATGCAAAACATGTATTTTACCATTTTATGATGAAGAGTATTTCCTAAAATGTCAATAAGGGTTAAAAAGAAATGGCCTGATTGGTTTGTTAAACCATGTGAGTTAATTTCCAGTTGCTGCTTATTTTAAGAAAGTAAGAAAGAGTTTGCAGCATCATAAAAATACAGATTCTGTTTCTTATATTTTCTTCTCATAAAAAAGGGGAAAAGAAAAAACTATGAAAGAGCTTAGAGCTAGGGTATTTGGTTTGAGGATCAGTTGAGTATTTCATTTTGTCTGTAGCACTAATTATAGACTTAATTATTACATAAATATTGTTTCATATTAGTTCTACAGCCAAAGTTCTAAATTTAGAAATAATCTTTTTTTTCATGATGCAGTTTCAATAATAAACATTATGATCAAGTCTAGGTGTATGCTACAGTATTAAAATGCCTCCTTTTTAAGCACTTGGTGGAATCACTGTTACTGCTCTGCTATGGCTTAGCTAGTCTGCCTGTAAAAGTGAAGATTTATTTTTATGTGGCTTGAACTGAAACGACTTATTTTTGATGTGTGCTCACCCTTAACTATTAACATTGTGTGCAATGGCAGTTTAAATGTTTTATTTTCAAATAAACAGGCAAATGGACTGTTATTTCTATAAATACTAACAGGATCATGCCCAAGCACTGGGATTTTTCAGCCTGGAGCAAGAGGAAACCACACATTTTCTGTTTATTTTTGTGGGGTTTACTATTTTAAGTAACATCAAGCCCCAGACTGAATATATTCTGACATTTCTGGTTACTTTGAAGGAAAAAAGTCCCAATAGTTTCTTAGCAAGTTAGGTCAACTTATGCTAAGTCACTGAGTGATAAAAAAGTATTCTCTGTGATAACAATATATGCAATGTCCTCCTGGGTGTCCATCACCAAGTCTCTTGCAATGGAGCTCAAAAGAAATACATAGGAAGATGGGAAAACGGTTGATGGTCCTACGAACCAGCCTGATCCTACTAACATGGATCCAAATCTACTTGTGTGCATAGTGCTGTTGTGTGATTCTGCAGGGATATGTGAGAACTGTCCCTGTCTCCTTAACTGAGAACAGATGTTGTCAGTGATATCAGATGCTCTTTTCTGTTCTCTCTTCCCCTGACCTCATTTTTAACACACTCATGAAGGACAAAACACCAAAGTTCTTGTGCTGCCTTTGGAACAGTAAAATCTGAGCATCAGCTGTATGGTTTAGACTTGTGCACTAGTAAGTGTTGTTTTGGTTTTCCTTTGTAGCTGGCTACTTATATCTTGAAGGGGCAGAAATGGACAATTGTCTGGGTTTTTTTGAGCAATTCCTCTGCATCTTTTGCTTGGCTTCACTTAGTAATAACCAGTTGATTATATGCAGGTAACAAAGTACTGGTTGAGAATTTTAACTTGCTTTTTGAATAGACAAATTCAGACACCATTAAGTGACTGAAGTTTTACAAGGGTATCAGACTACCTTTTGAAACTGAAGGCTTTTTGCAGCCCAGAATTGTTCCTCTAAATCTCTGGTCAGTTTGAAACAGTTTGACCTCTGTATCTCATTTCTTTGCAGTAATAAAACCCTCTAATAAACTGAGAGAAAAATGATTGAAATAGGTAAATACAGAAAAATTAGGGAAGGAGAAAGCTAATGAACTCAATTGCAATCACTATGCCAGTATTGCCTTAACTTAAAAGTATTGATTAAATAACTGAATATTTACATCTTGTACTGGAACCGCTGAAGGCAAATGATGCATTGCAAAGCAAACAGAAGCTGACCTTTGCACGTTTTCCCATCAGGCTGCAGGGTAAATCCAACTGGGCAACTGCATCGTACCCCTGTTGCGGTATCCTTGCAAGTCCGATCACAGCCTCCATTATTGACAGCACATGTTTCTGCAGAATGAAAGAGAAAGAGAGAGGGAGAAAGGCAGTGTAATGAAATGTTCTGGGGGAGGGGAGAGGCACTGACTCTTTGGGGCAAAATGACAACATTATGAAAGCAAACTAAGTTCAAGCAAGCCAACTGAAGCAAGCTCTCAAGGTCATCAGGGCCCATGTACTGGTTTTGACTTGTAAATCATTTCCACAAGTCATGATTTCTTTCTCCCCCCAAACGGGTGTTTTTATTTATTATATTTAGTTAGTGCTTTTGAACTGTCTTAGACAATAGGATGGGGTTATTACATATGAAACAAGTTTAAAAAGAAAAAAAGTGATTGCCTTTAAAAGCAGAACCAAACATTCAGTCTGTTTCGTATCAGTCAATGTCTAGCTGAGGCTTTTTAAGGTTCATTTTTTTAAATGCCGTTGTAGGCATAATGAACTTTAAAAAGCAGTAGAAAGCAAAGCAGAGTGCTAGACTTGGAACTGAGAATTTAAAACCCTTAGTTAAGAAAGAGTTAATGGAAAATGAACTACATATATCACTTTGACAAGAACCTACATGCCCAATCTGTTCTTACTGATCTACAAGCAAAAGGCATCTGGGTTTTGTCCACTTAAAGCTTTTTGCAAATTGAAAGGAGTTTGGAGTGGGTGGGAGGGCATAATTGAGGTCACTGAACCCATTCCAAGCTGTGTCATTGAAATTTCCCAGTGCTTGTAGTATGTAGAAGGGTGGCTGGGCAAACACAGGCAAGAGAAAGCTGCAATACTTCTGAGCTTTTACAACGTGGGCAATGACTATTAGGTACCACTACATTAAAAAAAATCTTCAACTTCATTACAGAAAAAGCAAAAACCCCTCCCTCATTGCCATTATCTTCTGTTACTCATGTGTGCACATGCGCACACCCTATGCATCCATACTCACACATACCCAGACACACATCTGTAAAATAGATAAAAGGCAAGTGAAATGATTAACTTTGCTTTGATCCAGAGAATAGAGTGGATGTAAGCACGTTACAATTTAGCACGTCAGTTTGAACGGTGCATTTGTCTGAAAAGTATTTACTTCAGAGAGCAAGTCCTTTTAATAGTATCTTTTTCAGTTGCTCTGGCTTTGATTAAATTAAAACACCCCCCCCCCCCCCCCCCCCACCCACCCCCCCCGAAGACTGCCATTATTCTACTCAGTTCACCTCATTCTGGCTTTCCCTAAAGAGGCTTTGTCATTACTTGCTCAGATTTACAGACTCCTATCGCTGAATATTCAAACCCCATGTCACAATTGTACCCTGTGGACAGGGTCTGACAATAAGCTATAGGATATGCTAATCGGGAATTGCCTTAGAACAGTACATTGATCAAAAATTATTTCCACAGAACAGAAAAGGCTTTATCTTTCTATTGACTAGTACTAAAAGATTTTTATTTTAAAGTAGCCTCTGCTAATGTCCTCAAGGTGAACTTAGACTGGCCCTTTGGAGGGACTTCACTGCTTCAAAATAAGAGAAAAAAAGTGTAACTGTGGGTTTGTTTTTTTTTTTCTTTTGTACTGGCATAGACCTCTACATCAGTTGTGGAATAAGCTGCTCATCCACTTACGAAAAAACTGAAACATGGGGCACACATGCATTAAGAGCATGGGACAGAACTCTGCTGTCCATGTGCATTCACACATGATCTACTAGGTAGATTTTGAATCTTTTATGCCATGTATGCTGTGTAATAACATAATGTAGAAAAAGCAATCACTATAGAAATGGATTTGCATATAACTGCCAGCAAGCACAGCTAACAAATGGATTGACAAGTTTTCTGGAACAGCTTTCTGAAAATGGGGCTGAGTCTGCAACTCCTTATTTTCAGGTGGAATTCTTGCTCACCTTGGGTACAACTTGCAGGACCTGAACCTAACTGTTTAAGTAATATAGTTCTGATTTTAATTTACTCCCCTGCAAAGGACTATTTTATAGACTTAGAAGCTGACACTGCTGCCTGAAGAATTCTTCTGTAAATGACAATGCTGGCATTTCCATTTGTATGTCAATGTGTGTGTGTCCTCATAGGCCAACATATCAAATGATTTTATATTTCAGAGAAGGGAGAGAGTTTCAGGTAACTTAAAACTTTTTTACTTGGGTACAGTTTAATGGCAGGATGATTTGCCAGGCGTAAAGAGTTTAGGTTATAAAACAGGAAAAAGTGCTGAAGATGTACATTTGGCATGGCACTGCAAAGAGTAGTAAATCTTACATTAGCGGATTAACTTTGGCATATGAAGAGTCCTTTATTGCAGTTCGTCAACACCAGATGAACATAAGCAGTAATATTTCTGCTTTCTGGATGACATCCAGTGAAAATGAATAGACAAAACATTTTTTTTTTTCCCATGGCATGGATGACTGGATCTATAGGGTAAGGGTCATTCAGTGAACAAGAGTTATTTCTATGTATAAATAGAGGGCATCAAGCCAGCTTTTCTTATTTTCACACAGATTTAGTAAAACAAACCAAAAAGGGTAAATACCCTTCAACCTTTCCTGGTGAGTCTGACTTTAATACATGACAAACTCTAACAGACTGAAGATCCAAGTGAGCAAGAGGACATCTGACAGTATCTCTAACATTTTGGATAATCGGAGAGATGTAATGATGAAATTCCTTAAACTCAAGGTCATGAGAAAACATTAGTAAAAGAAAGCAAACGTGAACAGCAGAATGTGGGAAAGAGGTATTATGAACTACATCAAACAGAATAGCTGAGGCCTATATACAACATAAACTGAAGCATCACCACCTGTGTTTCTGTTAGAAATTACTTCAACGCATTCTTCAGCTCACCACTATCAAACTTTAGTATATATTTGTAATACAAATAAAAGTTTTAGGTCTCAAATAAAGAGCAGAAACAATTACTTATTTCCAAGCTACCACATTGGAGAAGCTATACTTATATGGAAGGGAAAGAACGGATGTTCAAAATTTGGATCAGATCTTCATGGTGCTACTGATCCTACGGACCATTTTCCACTGTTTTTTTCTCTGTGAAAGGCAACTTCAGCATACTTATTACTCTTTTTGTTTGTTTCAGATTTTTTGGCACATTTCTGATGTTTTTTGTTCTGATGAGGGAGCAGAAAGAGAACTGGAAGACACAAATAAAGCAGTGTCATGTAACTGACGTTTAGATTCCTTACGAATTATGATAAAGATCACCATTTGAAACTATTAGACTTTACTGTGAATTTAAAGTGATGTTTGCAGCCCCACTTACACCCTTACTGAATTCCCACCAGAAAACTCAGACAGAAACAGGTATCTAAAGAAAAGGACATCTATTTACATAAGGTAGTCTGGGACAACTTACATCGTGTTTTTCCAATGTAAGCTCCTAATTCTGGAACACTCTCTCATATATCTGGTCCCTGGATCTACAGACAAGAAGTAACCCAAATTATTACCAACTTCCTATGCCTATGGTTTGCTCAATTAGGATATTTATTATTTTAACAATAGTTCACTGCGCTATTGGATATAGAATCACAGAATCATTACGGTTGGAAAAGACCTTTAAGATCATCAAGTCCAACCATCAACCCAACACCACCATGCTCACTAAACCATGTCCTGAAGTGCCATGTCTACACATTTTTTGAACACTTCCAGTGATGGTGACTTCCCCCCCCCCCGGGGCAGCCTGTTCCAATGTTTGGCCACTCTCTCAGTAAAGACATTTTTCCTAATATCCAATCTAAACCTCCCCTGGCGCAACTTGAGGCCATTTCCTCTCGTCCTATCGCTAGTTACGTGGGAGAAGAGACCAACACCCACCTCGCAAAAACCCCCTTTCAGGTAAGTTGTAGAGAGTGATGAGGTCTCCCCTCA